TGCTATGATGAACGGCAGTGTGTCTTTTTGAGGGTACCCTTTGTTGGTGGTGTTAAAGGGAAACCAAAAGGAACTCCGGAAACCAAAAGGACAACTACCATGTCCGGGCTTCCCTCAAAACAAGACAAACCCCAATGACGATGATTCACCCCAGCCGAAAGCAACTAGCAACTCAGGCGCTTGGTGAGCCAAACCCTTGACCTCACATGCGGATCACTCTCGGGCAAGGACGGATACTGACGGCATTTCATTTGGAAGGTGGTCAACAAATATAAGCATACGTTAATATACATAGTATGTATATGTACATGCATATTATATATGGATATAAGTCAAGAGTCAACTTGGGAGGGACGAGCCGCGGTTTTTCAACCACAAAAGCCGGGGCCCCAAATGTATGCCATAGCTGAAATTGATACGTTGGCCTCCCGCAGTTTAGCTTGGGAATAGTTTAACGGGGGCCGGAAAAACATCACCGAGTGACTCCCCATGGCCTCGTTGATCTTTGGGCTTGCTACAGGATGCGGGTCCAAGAGGCTGGTGGTCCTCTCCAAACCCAAAGGAACCAAGGGATGGTTCCCCTCGGAAACTCAGGAGCTCAGAGCCTTGGGGATTCAAAGTCACTCATGGACTCATGGCTGGTGATTTTTTTTTCAAACCGCAAGTTCAAGGGGAACTGGTGCCCGAAATGCTCCGTTTGCACTATTTTGGGGCTATTTACAGAGATCTCTTAGTCCTTTCCTTGGCTTGCGAAATCGTTTTCATTTGTGGTGGCTTCATTTCAGAGATTGGCCAACCCATATTTGGAACAGCCCGTGTCAGAAAGCAGGGCTTGCTTTCGAAATTCCTTTTTTGGCCACTATTAATTTACCACCCAGGTGGATTATGTTTCAACGTTTATTCTTTAGACCTGGCTGACAGGGGACACGGTCATGACTGGGGAACAATCGCTTTTCGTGACACCTTAACGACATGGCAGTCAACCATTTGTCATGTCCCCCCTCCCTTTGTTTGGTTTCTAATTCAGAGTCACTTGTGGCCTTTCCCATAGGACAAGAAGACCTACGAGCAGCTCGTTCGGGAGCGACGTGAGGCCAGGGCTTGTGGAATTCTGCGACCCACGTAGCTTTTTGACGGTTTTAGAAGCCCTTTCCTATGAATTGCAGGAGGCATGGCATCGTTTTGATCATGGGGTCAATCAACGTGTATAACGTTTGAGGCACTTTTGCTTGGGGAATTCGTAGTCCTTGGTCAGCCAGTTCTGTTTCATATTGAATTGATGGATGTTTGGCACTTGCGGAGATTGACCAGCCCGCGATGTGTGCATGTATCACACTGGGAGTACACCGCTCCAAGTTGGTCCCAAATAGCGCTGTTCTGTCTGGAAAGAACTTGAAATGAAGCAATGCGCCAGCGGGAAGCAATCGCCAGGTCAGGTACAAAGGCCTTACTTGGTTGGAGGGCTGTTCCGGGCTAGTTGTGATGGACTTTGAGAGACATAAACCCAATAAGACTCATAAGACTGCTCCCCTCAAAAGGCTAGACTCAGTGTCACAAAGCGCATGGTGTTGTATGAAGGTCGGGAGACTGGAGGGGCTATTCTAGCCCACTACATCAGCAGTTGCTTTTCAGTTTCGTTTAGGTGCTTTCCAGCGGTGCTCATTGGAGGTACTGGATTGTCGTTGTCCATGAAGTCGAGCCTGCATTGGCAGACAGAACCGTTTTCAGAGAGAATCAATGTGTGCATGTAGACACGCCTGTAATGTGTGTATCCATGTGCATATATGCATGTGTACATGTTTTGACATACATGTTTGTATGGTGTATGCATATATATATATATATGCAAGCACTTACAAGTGTGCATACCAACACTTATAGCCTGGTTGGGGGAATGCCATGTATAGCAGGTTGCGAGATGGACCAAAGTCTTGGGTGAGCTTATTCATCCGGCATGCAGCATGTTGGAGCTGCATCTGCTCGCAATCTGGCCCTTTGCGGTCAGTTTCGTTGGTTGCATCGATGTCACTGGTTTCAGTTTGGCCCTGTTTGATTCTCATTCGTCAAACCATAGTTACCTAGTGCTTGCCAAAAGGACACGCAGGGCTCTCTGAAGCTCAAGATGCGGCTGCAAGATGGATTGTTTCGGGCTTCTAACACTCCAAAGTGGGGACGGTACCTGAGGGGCTCTGAACATCGATTTTTTGAGCTTAGACTCACTCTCCAAGTCATTGGAACTCAACACGTCTGAGGAATCATCGTTGAAGGCTTCCCGCAAATAACAAGATTCACTCCTGACCAACCGACACTTCGAAACTTGAGAGTTGCGAACTTCTGAGATCAGGATTGAGGAGTGTAAGACAGCTTGTTTGAGGAATATGTCTTGAATCCTCAGGCGTTAGCAGAGGAAGTCCGCCAGCTGGTGTCCGGCAAATTCGGCCATGATTGTCGTGGACTAACGTATTGGGATTGTTTTGCATACAACCTTATTTGAAAATATGTGATAGGACAACTATACCAGCATTGCTTCATGAATATGCTATCATTGCTCTACTTTCATTTTTCCTGAAGGCCTTCTGCACGTTGCACATGTCAGGATTTGTGAAGTACGACTCTTTTCATAGAGGACTACCTAGCGCTCAATGTCGGAATCTCCTCGGCGCCAAGATGTGTTTTAGGCAAATCGTCGGCGTTTGGTGGGGGGAACTTTCAAGGAGGTTTGCAGGAAGTTTGCAGGAAGGCAGCATCAAGGGGTTCAGGCTGCTCCTTTTTGTGCGCAGAATGTGTGACATGCTACGTTGCTTGGCGGTTTAACTTTTTCCACATACATGCATTAAGTTATATTGTATATAAGTAGGTGTGTGCACTAGCATACATATGCATGTGCTCATGTAAAAGCATGAATTCCATGCATGAGTCGCTGAGTAGCACAGCCAGTGCCTGGTGTGGTTTGACCACTGCCTTGGCATCCTGCAGGGTTCTGCTGAAAGCCGCGGGTTCTTGCAGTTGAAATCCGCCCTTCCGCCCAAAGGGTGTAGCAAAAGGGCGCTGACTTTTGTTTGCAAGGCCCCGGCGCCCGCAAGCATGGAGCTGAGGTCGGTAGAGGTTTGTTGGGGATGGGCTTAAGCGCAGTTTTTGAGCTTTGAGGAGTTTGAGCCTTCTTTCGCAGGGCTCCTTAAAAGATACATTTTGCCCATGTGAAACATGGCTTTTTCCACACAAATAAATGGAAACCACCATTTACAAGGCAATGTTCAGGTGTATAATGTAAGGATCCCTGTTTCGGGACGGTGTCAAAGCGAGACATGCGCATCAGGCCAGGGGCGGTTTTGAAGCACAACTATGGAGCCAACAAAACCAAACATTCCAGCTCTATAGGGCACGCCTGTAAGGCTCTTCAGAACCCGCATGAGAGCTACCTGGTTGCCTGACATGGTTGTTGAAACACAATCTACTAGCCACTTAGTTCACATGACTGGTCGCTCGCGACTCATAAGAAACTCTCCTCTGGTCCTAGCGAGACGTTTCATGTAGCTGGTGGAATGGGTGCAGAAAAATGAGAAAGTTTACGCAGATGACCACGAACCTTTGTTTGAAAAGGTGTTACTACTATCCAGGATATGAACCATGATGTTCATTGAGGTTTTCCTTCTTCGTACAGGTATCCACCGTGTCGATCATATTACGTTAATACACTCAGCACATATGCACTTGTTTGTGACTGCAGCTACAGTGCTGACATGGCAGTGTAGCTTCCTTTCTGGTCAGCCTTCCCTTTCTTGTCAGCCTTTGCACTATGTTCCTTTGAGCGCCTTTGGAAAACAGGTGTTTGTTTCTTCTGGGAGTTTCACTATTTGTCGACTGCCTTCCAAGTAATTTGTGCCACTTTGGCTTGGCAAAGCTAGGGCCACTTTCAGGACGCGAGTTTGGAGAGCCCCCTTGTAGTAGTGGACTGACATTGCTCAAGACTCCGCTCTATCCAATGGAAGCACCATGAAGCACACTTCGGTTTCGCGTTTTTCTTGCACTGGAGGGGTTCTCTACTCCTATTTTGGATCCGCACCCTCCACACAGGGTCTCAGAACCCTTCGATCAGGACTCCTAGGCAAAAAGTTCTAACAACCTGTAGGGGATGAGGCGGCCCTTCCTATTCATTTCCTTTGAATTGATCCAAGCATTGGATTGCAACTTGGTTTTGGTTTCCCTTTGGAGTTTTCTCTGCTTTTGCTCTGGAGATGTGGAAAGCTTTCCACTTTGGCCTTGGGTTTCACTGGGTTTCTTTCCCAGGTGAAGCTGGATTTGAGGCGCCCGGGGTTCGGGGAGCAGAGAAATCCCCCGCGGATAGGCCAGTGAGTCAATCCGGGAGTGAGTCCAAATACGGCTGTGGCACAAAAAACAACCCGGTAATTCCCAAAATGGGTTGCCCTGGTAAGTGGGAAACATGGACCAAAGCCTGCGGTTTTGACCCTGCTGTTTTAATTTTGAGCCACACCCATGTCTTGGTGCTTTTTCCAGCATTAAAAAAGGGCCCTTTCAGCTTATGGGTGTCCCACTGAACGAACAACCATGAGGGTTCCTGTTTTGCAAAAGAATGCTTGATTTCGGGGTTGACTGCTTGAAGCCCTGGAGGGTTTTGCGCATGGCGGATTCTCCTCGCTTGGTTTGCACGCCAGCTTTCTTCGGCTCCAGAGCTACGCAGCACTCACAGATGCGTCCCATAGGAATACTGCTCACTGGACAAAAGCAAACGCGGATGTCGGTCAGAACAAGCATTGAGCCTCAAAGACTGGACACAGTATTGCGAGTCTTTCCTTGGTGACCCAGAAAGATGGAAGGCCCGCTGGATTCTGGTCCGGTTCCACACAAGCTAGGACAAGCTCAGAAAGCTCACCCATAATCCATGACCTACAGATTATCTTACTTCCAACTGAGACAATGATGTACTGGCTACACACGTGCATTTGCAACAACACTACAATGCGTGGTCAACAATGCTGGTTTACCTTCGATCCTTTAGACATCCGGCGACGCACGTTGAATCATGGTCGAGGCATCAAGTCTTCGCCGAGTCTTAGCTGCAAAGCGCAAGGAACCTGGAAGGCTAATCGCCTTGTGAGGAACGGACCCCCTTTTTGCGTTCTATGTGAATCTGGACGTTTGGTTTGCAGAATAGTCACGCTTCAAGGAGAACCGACATTTGGAGCTGGTTTGAACCAATTCGGCTGTCAAAAGTAGGCCCCACAAAGGGATGACCTGTTCCTTTAGGGTCGTACGGTTGCCTGTTCGGCCTGTTCAACCCCAAATCGTCGCTCACCTCCAAAACCCGCCGAGATTGGGAACACGCAGGCCAGTTTTACAGGCAGAAAGGAACGCAATCTTACGAGTAAGAATGTATGGGAGTTGCCAACATGAGTATTCCCCCCCCCCCTCCCCCCCCTGTGGAGCGTGTGTAAGAGAAAAAAAGTAATTGAAAAAACAAACAGTGGAGGCATGCGCTATTTGGGGAATCCTTCACATACATTCCTGGCTGCGTGCAGTAGGCTTCAGCGTCCCTTGACGTCTCAGGATGTGTTCGGGCAAGTCTCGCAGGCGTCATGGTCATGGCGGCTTGGTGTCATCCAGTGGGGGGGTCTCGGCATCAGGGGGTCATCCCTTTGGGTTGCTATAAGGTTCTAAAGACTTAATTTGTGAAAGAAATTTGACCAAGCTAAGTCATTATCCACATGTAATAATGCTTGTGTTTCGCAACGGTTTAGCCCATCTGGATTAGCTTCGACAGTGTAATGCAACATCGCTTGACATCAATTGGATCCCTTTCCAATTATCTTTGAGTGCATGTTCTGTGTTGCCTTCTGCAGCCTCCGATGCGGTCGTTGTTGTTTGCTGTCCCTGCTGTAGCTTGTGTGACGCTTGTGTGCAAGATGTGGTCCTAACAAGGAGCCTATGTCTTCTTCCTTGAGCATTGTCTTTATTTGCAGGTAGCTTTTTGTCGGTCTAAAGGGAATCCAATACGTTAAAAAGGGCAATCAACAAATATATATATATATATATATGTTGGGGGGGTCCAAACTTAACATGCCACACCCATACAAGTACATGTTGAGCATCGCAGACCCGAGGTAATGCAAAGCTACCTGTTCTGCCTTCTTGGCGAGCATGGAGCTTCCAGACTCCAAGGTGCGAGCTTCTGACACGAGCGCGAAGCAAGAATCTTTGCCCAGGGAGAAGTTGCTTGGGTACTTGGTTGGTTGCTGGTACCTGGGGAACACACCAACCACCTACAAGTACGCCAGCATAGTTTTGGTTGGTTGTTTGGGTAGGCATAGCTTTGGTTGCTTGGGTACTTGGTTGGTTGGCTGCGTGCACTGTTTGGTTCTTTGCGGATTGTTTTCGCTGTTTGGTTGGGTGGTTCGGAAATGACTGAAAGGTGGGATGGTTTCTCAGCATTGGATCTCCCAGAGGCTGAGCTTCTGGAGCCTTCCGTGATAGCTTTTTCTACTTGGACTTGACACCAAAATAAACCACAGAATGAAGAGGATGTTTTTGCAATTTGCCATGCTATTACAACTGAGATGGATCTAAATTCATATCCTCAGTTCAGCTCGGAATTCCTTCGGTGGAGGCATACCCCTCCAGACCTCGCTTGCGGATGCTTATTTGCGGCCATGATGTGCAAAGCAATGTGCGTGATGCTCTTGGCAGGCATGGCTCGACGAGATTCCTTGCATGCACCTAGACGTCAAAGACTTGGCGTCTCTGGGGGTTGGACACTTTGGAAATTACCTGAATGTGGCCACGGGGGGGGGGGTGAAAGTGTCCAATCCGCCGAGATATGCAGCTAAAACACCGGGCCAGTTGGGGTGCATCGGCCAAGATCCCCTTGACCACCGAGTCAAACGTGTGGAAGGTACAAGAGAAATGATGCGTGGAAGGTGTGCCACATTCCAGGTGTCTCGCAAGGGGAGACTTTTTGATCTCAGGAGCGAAGTGAGGTGTCGCGGGTGGTGAGGCAGTGCTTGGGATCGCGTCGATCCCACTGGCCCTTGCCCTTTGGTTGTGATATGTTTGGGATTGTCTTCCTGGGTCTTTTGCTGGTTGTGAAGGCCGCGATGGCAAGCCGCAGGGGGCAACCATCGTGTCACACCTAAGAAAGGCAACCTGTTTCCTGCATCTGGAAGCACCGGGCACAAAGACCAAAGGGAAGCAGCTGGAAGTCCCTCAATTTGAGATGCACCTTTTGGTGTGTCTGTGTGTGTGTGTGCGTTTGAAGAAAGCAAGGAGGTACGGTGGTACGGGGACCAAACTTGGTCATGGTACGTTATTCACAGCCTGGCAAAGAGAGCTGTTCTGCCAGGCAAGAGAACGATCCGGATTCCGTGCCCGGCATAGCTTCCTGAGCTTTGCAAGAGCATACACACTGCAGATTGGATGACTCCCAGACCATTGCAGATGCTCCCAAACGTGCTCAACATGGAGCCCAAGAAGGGTCCCCCCAACATGTGGAGAGGAGCGTCCAGGGACCGATTTGGTTTTTCGGACTCACACCGAAGCACGACTGAGGGAGTGAGCAGATACAACTTCGAGGAATATCGTGGAATTTACAAGAGGCTGAGTTCTCAGCGATTGGCGGTTCAAATTGGAGCCATGTCACAGGTGAGCCCCTGCACATGGGAATAAACGGTGCATAATGATCAGCACCCCCCCTTCCACTAACATGGCATCTGACAGAGGGTCGCTTGTCGGGAAGCATGCAACCATGTATTGCGTCTTTGTTGTCCGCGGTGTATGCTTAGCGCGGCGGGAACGCGGCGATTTGTGCGATTGCGATTTGCGATTTCTGCGAGCCCAAGGTGAATCGCAGCGATTTGGGGAATAGTAGTTAGCTTCAGGGGATATGGGCTAAGCTTGGTTGGATATGGTTGGGTGTCGAAGCAGAAAACAATTTTCATTAGGGTAAGGCAAAATGGGTTTGGGAGCGATGTTTGCTTTTGTGGTTGTGGTTTTGGCTGGGTAGACAGAGAGGCGGCAGGTGCGGCAAGGCTCTAGAAACGATTTTCGTTTGGGGAAAATGGGTTTGGGAGTGTTCCGATGTCTGCAATAGTTGCAGGCCGAAGCAGCGATTCAGAGGGCGACTGGGAATCGAGGAAGATCCTTCAGACGCAAAAGCTTGTGGCTTCAGATATCAGTTTTGGCCCTTTCCCGTGCAGAGAAAGCAAGGCAATGTCAAAACCAATGCTTTCTGCGTTTCGCAATGAGAGCCCCTAAGCAGCGATTCAAAGCTAGCGATTTCAAATCGCTGCGTTTGCGATTCCCTGCTTTGAACCCACAGCGATTTGAAAACGCAGTGATTTGCGATTGCGAGTTTGCCTCGCTAAGGGTGTATGTCCCTTGGAAAGAGTCTGACTAAACACTGCTCATTTCCAAGCAGCTGTTGTGAGTAAGGCTGATAAGCGATGAGTCCTGGCCAAGAGTTATGCGCAACTTGGCTGGAGCTTTGCCAAGGTGGCACTCTGGGCTTGCATCCACAGCCCACCCAAGCTTGTCAGAATGGCAATTCTCCTGCAATGCAAGTCTTGCAACCTAAAATCAATGATTTAAGATGAGGCGGTGATCTCAGCCAGCTGGCAGAAAGGGCCTGCCAGATGGCGTTTTTGGCAGTCGAGGCATTGTGGTGGTGGGTCCGCGCGGCGACGGATTTCGCCAGGATGTGCAGGCGCAATGGGGCGCCCTCCTAACATGGTTGTTGCTGGGAAACATATGTTTACATTTTTGTTTATTGTGGTTGAGTGGTTGAAATCCAACCACTTAACTGCTAATATTTGAGAATGTTTGCTCCCCTGCCAACGTGAACCAAGCTAAGTCTGAGTTGTAATTACTACATCCCCACCATTTTCGGTATTTACGGTATGGAAGCTGGGGGCGTACTCCACGTTCTTTGCGGTTAGGAAGAAAACATTGGTCTGCGGATGCTGAGTTGCCCACCAAATTCCCATGTCAGAGCAGATGGGGACACCAGCTGATTGACTGTGGCTCATGTCAGAAACTGAGAAGGTACACATGTCAGATCTTTAGGCGATGAGCTTTCAGATCGCCATTTAGACATTTGTGTTCACTTGCAGTTTTACAGATCACTTTGCGATCCTATTTATATTATGTCAAAGTAAGTTTTCAGTTTTCCGCGTACCGTTATGAAGAACTGGTCTTATGCAGGACATGCCTAGTGCCAGTATTCCTTTGTAAAACATGAAAATTGCCAGGAACACAGTGATGCACTGCATTCAGTTGCGTTGGCCAAGCAAATGACGTTTATGTTGAAATGTGATTGGTGAGCTATGTTTAAGCATAGCGACAACGACTGTCATATAGCTTCAACTGTTAGAAGATGTTTTCCAAGTTTGCTAGCTCTTGCTCTGAGTGTAATGGCAAAGCCTCAGTAGCAGAGCTGCAACCACAAGAGCAGGATTAGATGCTACTGTACGACAGCAACAAACCAAGTCATCAACACGAACAGCGAAAGCAGCGGCAGGTAGGCAAGGGCAAGGGCGGGAGCAAGGGCAACTGCATACTTGTGTTTTGTTGGTTTTTTGCAAAGCGTCGAAAAGACGCACCGACGTGCACGCAGGATGCAGTCATCAAGGTGCTCGGATGGGATCCCATCACAGTGACTGCAGCTCGATCAGAATATGTTGGGCCTCATGGAAGATGCCGTGCCGGTTGCATGAGTTGTTATTTAGGCATGCGGCATGGGCCAACAAATTGGTGGTTCTACTGTATCTATTTTGTCTGCACCGTGTGCAACATCATAGGAGTTTCATGCCGAGTTCAGGCTTTGCAGCAGGCCCTGATCCAAAATAATCAGTTTTGCCTCAACCAATCCGGACGCCGTGGCGCGTTCTTTCCTTTCATATTCGCTCTCATGAGCACAGCATGCTATTGCTGTGTGCCGCGTTGAAGCTGTGCGTGCAGTGCCGAGGCGAATCACTTGTGCAGCGTTTTGCATGAGCTGCTGTGTCCAAGGTGGATGAAAGGACTCGCTGGCAATCCATGCGCCTGGATATCCGTGCCTTAGACAGCACGACAGGCCAACAACGATTGATGTGTGACATGTCCTTTTGATTTTCAAGACATGTGGAAGAAGCTCCATGTTCCGAGAGTCGGCGCGAAGAAAAGCAACGCGCTGTTCCAACTATGCTCTGGCGTTTTCCAGCATTGCGTCAGGATTCATCAATCCTGATGATTTCTGTGCATTGCACAGCGCCTGGGATGCAGACATTTGAAGGTTGTTTGATTTGGGTATGCAGCTTGACGGGCCCTTCGGTGGTATTCTTGGAGGGTGTTGCAGCCATGTACTTGTTCATAGCCATGTGGTGACGGCCAGGTTATTTGCAGACAATTGATGGCATTCAGTCCGTGCTGTGAACTGGCGCGATGCCTGGCTGTTGGAGCATAGCCATACTGGGCCTGCTTGAGCGATGCGGTCGAGTCTCTCTGAGGCAATGTGAGGTTAGGTGTCACTTGCAAAATGGGTGTGTCTTTTTTGAGGGAACCCCAAAATGGTGACTTTCCTTGCGGTTGTACTTTAAAGCCAAAAATAGTTCCCTCAGAAAACAACAAACCCAAATCTCAAGTACAAAAACCACGGGGACTCGCCGAGTTTCCCGGGTACAGCATCTCGTCATCCATTTTCTGGCGGGGTGATGAAGAAACCATCACCCAGCCACTTTGTTTGCAGTTGACACGGCTCTGGCTAGCTGATTTTCGCAGAGCGTCTTGGCTTGCTGAGAAAAAGAAAGTGAAGTGGGGTGAATATGTTGCAGGTCCAGGGCGTCATCCAGTTTCATGGTGTTGCCGAGGGGATGGGGTGTGATTTAGCCTTGACACCAATTATTGGGCTTGTGCTTTATTGTGGGTGCCCTTTTAGGGTAGAATCATACAAAGGGAAAAAGGTAATCACCACGAGGGTTCTTCTATGTTGACACATACCCCATTGGCGCATTCTGGGCAGCAGCCACAATTGAAGATCATCGAGAGCTACAAAAAGGACCTTAGATTTGATGGGACCATCGTCTCGCAGTTGGAATCCTGAATCCACGACAAGAGGTAAGACTTGACTTTGTTGCATGTTGCTTGGCTGTTAGGACTTTAACTTTTTGCCAACTCATGGGTTTTCGATTAAACCACTAAAAGTTATGTACTTTTAGCAGGGGAGCAGAAAGCAACCAAGTTGAAATTGATGTGGCTGCAGCACTCCCCAGCCACGCTGTTGCGAGGATCCAGTTCCTTTTTGGCACAGGTGGACACCAGCATGTTGGACCTGCCCGTCTACAAGGAGTCGGCGATGACACACCGGCGTGTGTGTCGCCGGAGACTTCTCAGTGGGCGATGGCTGAAATCCCCTCCGCTGTGATTGATGGGGAGCTTGGGTTTCTCTTTGGGGTCGGTTGGCGGTTGAGAACACTCAAAAGAGCATTCCATTGCTCACCATGTGAACTGGTCAAGTAAATACGGTGGTATTCTGAAGGAGCTTGGACACAGATCAAAGAATAAACCTTTGCAGATAGTTGGTAGGGGCTTTTGCTCTCAGCTGTTGTCAGTTGATGCGCTCTGCTGGTTCCATGCCCTGCTCAACTGTCGCCACGATTGTTGGACATATGGATGGACAAAATCCTGCACCACCTAAGAAACCCTCGAATGATGATGCCCCTTTAAATGCCAACAAACCATGGTTTCCCATAGTTTCAAGTTGGTGCAGGATTTCGTCCATCCACAGTATGGCCAGCAATGGAACAACCAGGGACTTGGCATTGGCGAGGCATGCCCGAAAACCGCCGCCGCCACGCGCCGCCATTCCCGCATGTCCGTTGCCCCGTTTTCTCGGCCCGCCCGGGCTCCAGCATTCGCAACTCGAGACCGACTCGAAGTTTTGGGCCGCAAGCACCAGGCCGGGCCGCAAAGCCGCAAGCGGCCCGAAAAGCGGATGAGGGCAGCTCCGAGCTGATGGCCAATGCTCCAGGTAGACTTGTGGTTCTTGTTTAGGACCAAATTCCTTGGCGCCAGGGCCTTCGGCCTTCGGAGTGGCTGATGGAAACCGCAGCCCATCAAGGGACGCTCTGCACCAGTTGCAAGATGGTACCCGTGTGTCAAAACGGACTGGCCCCCTTAACGGGAACAGAAGGCGCTTTTCACGATGCCAATCAAATTTGTCTTCTGAGATGGGATCAGGCGCAAGGCAGAGCATATCAGGTGTATAACTTGTCGTTTCTTAAGGGGAACATACCAACATACCGCCCATGGCCAGGCGTCCATTTTCTTGGATGCCCCAACCCCAGTGGCGTACGTGAGCCACTGGGTTCAACTCTGCTTGTCCCGGTGGTTTGGGGCTGGATTCCACCTACTAAAATCAACCACTATATCCCCACATATCCCCACATTACGAAATCCACTAAACCCTAAACCGCTAAAGAGAAACCACTTCTTCCCAAGCTCGGGGTCACGCCCCGTTCGAGTTTTCGCAGGCCATGGCTCCGAAGACCAGCCCAACTCCCTATGACCGCGCCCGCAAGGCCAGAGTTTGGAAAACGACTCCCCCCGGAAAAGAAGCATGTAGCATGTACCCCTAACACAAGTGGTATGCCATGCAGCTACCTCCAAAGCCCATACCAGAACATTTCCGTGAGGATTTGCCTCCTGTGTGCGCGAGTTTGCCAACCACTTGCAACATCTCATGGATGCAGCAGCTCGCCACATTTGCTGTTCGCCAGAGATCCCAAAATTCACGTGTACAATGCCTGGAAGTAGAGGTGGTCGAATAGATACTTACATTCTTGTTGTGTGAGAGCACTGTCAAGAGAAATAGTTGACAGCGAGCTTAATGCGTGTTCATCCCATTGAATATTACCACACAACTTGCCTTGGACAAGTGGCTTACACTCCCTCAGACTAACATGGAAGCTCCCAGGAGGCCTCTACAAATGAAACCAAGTCTTCCCCTGGGAGCTTCCAAGTTAGTTTGGGGGAGGGTAGAGTTACAAGCAAAGCACCACCTTGACTCATCCTGTCCTCTCATCCTTCCCGCCAGGCGTACAGCTCCCTGCAGTATGAGCGATTGAAGGCGGATTGCCAGGACCAGCTTCGCCCTGTTTCGCCGAATCGCACCTGTTTGAGCACGATGTGGAGGAGAGACGCCATTTACATTCTTAAAGTTCTTCCCTAAACCCACTACAGCCTTCCTTTCAGCCTCTTCCCAAAGAACAAACAACGATTGACCTGACCATCCCTTTTTTGCCATGCGCTACAAAACAAGTCTGTGTCATGGCGAATCAACATGCTTCAACTCCGAATATTATGGATCCTGGTGCGGCGCGTGGGAGGGGTCCTGAACCTTCCCCATATGGCAACTTTAGTGTGTCATGTTTGGCCGTAAGGCATCCATAGCAAGGAATTTAGAAGGAACCTTCAAGCGGCTGGCGACTTTTGCTCTCGGAAAAAACTTCCTACAGATGCTTCTAGCCAACCGTTTGAACCCCCGAGTCTTGACGTGTTTTGACCGTGGCCTCAGGAATACTTGCCTTCTGTCCTTCTGGGCGGAGCCAAGGCTGTGATGAAAGAGGCGCTGCGGGCCGAGTCAACCTTGAACCGAGACATTGGCCCTTGGATGTAATTTCCGTATTGGGAGCCCTCCGGACATCATTCAAATTGGACGGGTTTGCCAGCCACTTGAAGGGGTTCCCCGAAGTTCAAAGCAGCAATGGCGCGTGTTCTTGTCTAACTTTGTTGCAGCGCTCTGGTTTCGTAGGGATGTTTTGGGAGTTCTCAGAACTGGCGGGGTTCCTTTTTCACGAACCTGGGCTCAGCCCAAAGACTCGAGCCCGCAGGCTGTGTCAGCTTCTCCCAAAGACGCGGAGGCCAGGCTGCGCTCCAAAACCTTTGACCCTAGTGGTACAATGTCCTCCCCTGATAAATTGCAGGCAAATAAAATGGACAAAATGTTAGCATCAGTTGTTTTCAGCATATAACTAGTAATTATAACACAAACAAATTGGTAAATTTGTTAGCATCAATTAATCGCTGACACCACCAACACCGGGAAACCCACCAACGCCACCAGGACACCATTTGCGCACCATCAAAAAACCACCAGGACACCACCGGGACACCACCAAAACATGACCAACAACACCACCGGGGCACCAACCGGACACCCACTGGAACACCACCAGGACATCGCCAAAACAGCACCAGGACACCTTCACCGGGCCACCAAAACATCACTGTAACGAACCACCATCACCATAAAAACCCCGACCGGAACACTACGAAAACACCACCGGGACACCACTGGAACACTGGGACAGCGCCAGGGCACCGACCCCTGAAAAAATGGATGCACGGACACTTTGCAGGCAACCGGGTTTCAGACCCATAGTGGACAGTATTGGCGAATACGTATTTAGGAGGTCCTTTTTTGCAGCGGATTCTTTTCTTCCAGGGTCCAACTTAGTAATAGCTGCTGAGTTGGGGTATTGATCACGGTTCAACCCTGGCTTTATTACGTTTAGACAACTTATGTCGACCTCAACAAGGTTTGTTTTTGCAAATAGGGAGCCCTCATTTTTGGCGAGTCACTATCATTTGCGGGGCTATAGACGTGACAAAGAGGCTTATCCACGGTTTGAACCAACCGTAATTCGTCTCGGGACCGGGAATGTTTGTGTATACAACAACACACTGATGTGGGGGCATCTCTCCAAGTGTCCAAGTTTCAGGACCGCCCCTTTTGCATCCTGAAACAAATCACGCGAGCTGTGGGCCTTTCAAAGTCGACACAATCCCCAATGATTGAACATTTGGTCTGTCTCAAAGTGGGTAACCGCTTGCCAGATAGGAACTCCTCCACACGGATGATATTAATCGTAAATTTGGGAAACCCCCTTTTGTTTCAGTTTCTCTTGCATGTCCCAGTTCTGGAGTCATGCTTCTACATTCGTGCCAGGTCTGTTGAGCCGGGCTTGCATTGCCACCGGCGGGACATGGGTAAATCTTCTACCTTGATTTAACACGCAGTAGTAGTGTGACTCACAAAGCTGAAGCCAAGCAACTCCTCGCAGATGTCAACCGAGTGGCTGTCCATGGAAATTGCCCTTTCAGTTGCCAGACGCAAGTGGTCATAGCATGAAATCGCAATCGGAGCGGAGAGCATGACCTTTGGTTGCCTTTGGTTTGCCTGGGTGCTAGATAGCACACTAACCAACAACCAACAACAAACAACAAACAACAAGCAAGAAACAACACACAACAAACAACAAACAGCACACAACAAGCATCAGGCAACATCAAAGAACAAACAACAAAGAACACCTGATGGTTTATTGTTTCCTTCCCCAAACAGGATGCAAAAGGGCGTTGGTTTTTCTGGTTTGTCCCAGACCCGCTGTGAAACAAAGTCCGCTCGAGGCCATCAAGAAACTTTTCCCTTCCACCTGCGCCTCGCGCTCAGAGTTGTTTTTTCCTTTCGATCCCGAAGTCGCAGGTCGCAGGAAACTCGTGTTTGGATTGAAACGTTTGTCAGTTCAAACCTCAAGAGAAGGAGGTAAAATGGGAAACCACCCTGTCTCAGCTCTAAACAAACAGTCCAAGCCAACTATTAGTGGGAAGCTGTGTGACTTGGATGGCTGTAGCTGGCAATCAGTTTGCTGACTTCAGCAGTGGGGCAACCGATACCTGTGTTCAGCTGAACGTGTATTGGACCACTTGTTGTTTGTAATTGTCTGACGAGCTTTCGTAGTTTGCCATGTTGCTGGATGTTGCTGGCTGCCATTGTTTGGTAGTGGGGTTGCCCTCATGATCATTGTGGCCGTCGGTGGTGATTGTTGTGTTGGTCATTAGATGTCACTGTGCTTGCATAATGTTTGTCATTGTCGTTCGTCCTGACATTGACATTGTCACATGTTCTTTTGACGCTGCCGATTGCGGTTGTCATCATGTCCGGTGTCCCGTTGCGGCTGCCGATGCTGCTGCTAGGATCCCCGTTGTTGTTGAAGTTATTGCAAGCGTCATGTTTTGATGTCCTTGTCGAAATTGCTATTGTCACGGTCCACGGCTGGTAGTTCTGCCGCTGCCGTCGCCCTGAATCGTCACGATTGTCAGTACCCTTGTCGATGCTGGTAGTATTTGAGCTATATGTTTTAAACTGCACAAGGAGAACCTGTGATGAGAGCACAGCTTTTCCATGCCATGCCACACCTCATATTTGTTTGTGCAGCACTTCTGGTAACTCATCGTCACTCAGTTCTGGTGCCCAGTTGTGTTTTCAGTTGCTATCCAACTGCGCTTCATGAGTGGTTCAGGTTTCTGATGATGACCGCATTGCTCGGCAAACTTCCGTCGTGTCACCATGTTTGCCTGGCTGCTACACGCTATGCAGACGGTATGGAAAAAACACATTTTGGGTGAGCAGGTTGGCGCTGCGTGATGCACTGGACACGCTGGCTTCTTCCTTATTGTTGATCTTTCGTCGGCGGTTGTTCAAGAATTCGAGGGGCTGAAATTAGCCTCTGTTGCTGTTGTTTCAAAGTTACTCTTCGGAGGTCTTTAGTATTCGACTGCAAAGCGAGAAAGAGTTCAAACAACAGAATAACAGCAACGATAACGATCATTGAAGAAGCCTTGTCAGCTGGAAAACACAAAACCAGCTTACAGGCCAGACTTGCAGTGACTGAACAAAATCGAAACCGGACGACAACGAAATCGATAGCGTTTCAGAGTGGACGTCTTGCTGACATTCACACGTTTTCTGAGCGCAATGGCTGACTAGTTGCGGTGTTCGAGCTGGAGCTGCCAAAGCGCTCTTTGCGTACTACACTGGCACCGAACAGTTGCGATTTTCAAGCTGAAGTTGCCAAGCTGTACTTTGCTCACTACGCTTGTACTAGGTCGCGAATCTGAGGTTAAAAACGCAGAAGACTCAAAGCTGCAAAGCGAAAAGGAGTAAAAGCGAGAACCCCTAAGCAGGAGCTTGAAAAGCAACGAGGGCTGAGATCCCCGGCTAGGTTGGGCCATCCCCTGTTCATGTTGCAACGCCCATTCTTTGCGCTTCCGCGTTTTTGTTCCTTTGAAGGTGGCCAAGGTATGTGTGTTGAAATCAGCTTGGCCCATCCTTGAGGGGAACCCATTTTCAATCCCCCAAAAACAACATATTATTTACAGGTAGGCTAAAGAGAGGGTGCCTGTTTGAGGGAACCCCCCCTTTGGTTGGTTTCGAAGGCAGTCCAAAAGGAAGCCAAGCAGTTTTTGGGGGCCCCACTATGTTGAGACAAAGCCGTACGGAGCGGCTGAACATCGGAAGTTTGGGACCCAGAGCTCCAGTGACAGGACATCCCGCTGGTGGAATTCGAAGCTGGCACTCCCCCCGCAGAGAAGGCGGGGGCCGGCTTCAGGTTAAACCCCCCAAAGGGCGGGGGGGGGGGGGGGACACCCCCACAAGTGCGGCAGGGTTGAGCCGGTAGCATTCAGTGGAGTGAGTCATGGTCCCTGGAGCCTTCAAACCGGTTTGATGTTCAGGGTGGAGATATTTTTCCACCCAAGGGACTCTGCAAGGGCATGGTTTTGGCGACGTGCTTTTGGACCACTTTCTGTGATACCAGGGGGATCAGTAGAGTATTGATGGCTCACGTTTGTATCCCAGAAAATTATGGCAAGAACTCTTACCAGTTGCTGGCATCAGGAAGACCCGACTTGGTTTTAGACAATTAAAGTATAGAATTGGGGACCTGTCACAGACAGAAATTGGGAACTTATTTTGCTAGTGGGTTTTGTTTGCGACTCAGATGAGCTATTCTCAACATTGGCGCGCGCGCGTCTATGAGATACAGGGCTTGCGGGTTCACAGGAAGCCAAGGTGTTGCCAAAGTTGAGAGCCCCGTTTTTCATGCGTCCGCCCATGAGCGGTGTGTTCAACAGGAAGCTTACCAAGCGGGCGGAACCACCTTTGGCTGTGCTAAAATGCAGCCCTACGGAAGCCACGGTCGGTTGACTCGTGTGCGCTTGACTCGAGCACCCAGTGCCCGGAGGGAGCAAATGCCGATCAAGAGCAAGATGCGGTGGTGCTGAACAGTTGCAACGTTTGTCTAAAAGTATGACTCTGCACATGTCCCAGCTTCGTGGATGGAACTCAATGCTTAGCGTAGCCATGATTCATGGGTCAAGGGAAGCATCCAAACACAATTGCAAACAACTGAGCAGTAGAAGAAGACAAGGCCTAAGGCAATGCTCTTTATGGCATATCAATCCCAGCAAAGTGACCTACATGGCTGAAAAGGCCACTGCACATGCAGTGACTGTCGTGGCTTGTCTTGCTATCACAGAAGCACAAGAACCGTGAGCGCAACATGGCATTGGGTGAAGCGAGCACGGAACAGATGGCCGCTCAACAAGCATAGGAGGCAACAACATGAATGCTCAACAAGAATGTAGCCAGCAACCAGTCATATGCCTGCAGTTGTTTAGTGGCACTTGTGTCCCTTTGCTGCCATGAAACATGGTCACCCCAACAGTGGGATACCTTTTTCTGCCAGGTTTACTTGGAAACTGGGACTAGGATGTTCTACTCTCTTCAACTGAATCCGGCCAAACTGGCATAGTTCAGTCTGAACCCGGGCCCATGAACCAATGGCTCAGTTCTACCAAACAAAGCACATCGATTTGCACCCTTGGCTGGCAAGCCCTAGTGAACCAAACGTATGCTGACCAAGTTTTCAGCAATGAGGGGTGTTCAGGAGGACATTTGACTAGTTAGTTCTTTGGCTCAAACGGTCAGAGGCACAATCCACAGAGGAAACCGTGTGTTTCTTGCTTCCAACATCTCAATGATCCTCACGCCCTTTCACTGTCCCCAGCTCTTCATATCTCCTTGCCAACCTTCTGTGACATGTTGAAACCCGTGTTTCCCTCCAAAGGCTACAAGTTTGTGCTTTTCCTTCAGCTTACCTCTTGGTGTCCCGTGTCACAGGGATTGTTTCAACCAGTTGCCCAGTGGCATCTTGGCATCTTCTTTCCCCTTTGGGAAGATGGGCTTCTCTTGAATATATCAACAATGGGGCTGGCCCGCGCGACCCGGACGCGGGGCCGTCTGTGTTTGGCTGTTGTTTTTCTGGTGACGCGTCGATTTTGTCAGGGCCCACTTACCATTGGGGGGATCCCCCGACAGCCTCTTCTAAAAAGAACTTGCCGTCGGTTTTTTTTTTTTTTTTTTGTCAGGGCCCACTTATCATCTCCTTCGAAAAGGGAGTCAAACACCTACCATCGGGGGTCAAAAACCTACCATCAGGGGGGGGCTTTTTTCCAAAGGCCACTGGGCTTCTGAGCAACGCCGCGGGTCTCGGCCCTCAGCCTCTCGAGTCCCGCACTTCCGCTCAGGCGCCCGTGAAAGTGGGCGTGGTCCTATCCGGTGGCCAGGCAGGGTTTTTATGAAGGAGCCAGCATGAAAGCAACCAGCTGTGGCAGGCTGTGGGGGACTATAAGCGTGATAATGATATATATATATATATATTTATATATATAGTACATAAAATGGAAAAAACGAAAGCGACCCAACAGCCAAGAATGAGTGATTGGCTGTTGGATTTGATAGTATCCTGATAGTAGTACCAAGCACCTCCGCAGAAGACATTTTCCCATCGCATTGGGCAAGGAAACGTCGACCTCCCTGACATGACGGACCGGCTTGGGTTTGCAACCGAGTTTAGACCAATGATTCTGCTTTGTTTCTAGGTCCCCCAGTAGTGCCCTTTTGCACCCTTTTGGGGGAGGGGCCCTACTAAAATAGACTACAGAAAAAGTGGTACCCTTATTCTAACCTCTCTACTGGAGGACCTAGGTTTGTTTGTGGGGAACCTGTGCTTTGAACTGGTGCGTCTTTTTGTGCTGGCAAGCTCCATAAACTTGGTTTAAATGGGCCGCGTGGCTGTAGGTCAACACTAGGAACCCCTTTTGGCTGGCTGGTTTTATGTTAGCATTTCCAGAGTGGCTTTGTCAGCCAACTAGCCATACTTAGACATCAGACGAACCAGGTTCACTGGATCAAGGAAGGCCAGAGCTCGTTCTCCTTGGTCTGCTTGGCAAAGTGCAGGTTGCCGTGATTGCCTGGTTATCAATGGTCACAAGGGTCGCCACCTTCCACTCTTCTGACGTCGGGCCGTGCAGCGTCACGTCAGCGGTCTTCCGTGAGGGTGCTTGTTTCCACATGAAACGATGCTCCGTCACGTTGACATAGCCGTTCGGATCAGATTTCAGATGACGTGGAGTCTCACACCAAGTTCAGTTTTTGTCAAGGGATCGAGCCAGGGCGAAGGCACACAACAAGCCGTCGCTCCTTTCTATGAACTCATTCCGACTTGAATTGTCCTTGAGAACTAATTAAGACGGAACACGTAACTCGGGTATCAACTTTCACACTGGACATAGGTGCTATTCTTGTTGGCACAGGAATTTGTTTCCCTCAATCAACCCTTCGTTCCTGCAGTTTTCGGCAAAATCCCTTTAGCCCACGAGCGCGGAACCGGAAACGTGTCCCGTGCCTTGAAGGCTCCTGGCGGTCACAACGTCATCGCGGGCATTTTTGATGGCATCAAAGCCTGGAACAAGGCGGGAGATGTGTAGATCCCGCGAACCCAATGAACGGTCGAACAAAGTCATCGTTGGTTTGGGTAAGTTAAATCATGATATCAAGGCTTCGATTTTGCGACGCCGGTCCATGTCTTCAGGTTGTTGAATACTAGGTTTTGTCCAGATATGGCTGTGGGTCAAAACCAATGGTACCATTTTGGGGTAGGTGCACCATTCAGTTCAGTCTATTTTAGTGGGGATTGGGATGTTCCTTGGGGTACGGGATTTTGACCCATGGCCATATGTTGGGCCAAATTGAGGCAAACACGACAGCTGGATAGAGGGTTGGCAGAAGGACAGCCCCAACCATAGGTTGATGTCGGAGACTCAGAGACTCGTCACCAGGAGTCCGTGATGTACGGCTTTCTGGATGGGCCGCACGGGGTGTTCGCGGGCAATTTTGTGGTCATCACGGATGAGATCATGGACGGGTTCCGCAACACAGGCGAGCCATTGAGGGGTTGCAATACGGCAGTGGTTCCTGTTTTGGGGAAACCAGATTCAAATGGAACCTCATTTGTGGAGTTTCCTTTTGGGGGACCCCTTTGGAGTTCCTTCTGCAAATTTGCAGGGGAGCGTGCTCTGGACAACAGTAGCACATGGCGTCCACCTCTTTGGCCCTTTGCTCTGGACAACAGTCGTCCACCTCTTTGGCCGCCCCTTTGCTCGCCACGTGGGCATCGGTGGGTGGGCCCGCCCTGGTCTGTGAGGGCCAAACCCGGCGAAGGCGATATGAATTTGACCACAAATTCGGGGACCCCTCCCCCATGTGTGCTGCTTTCCTTGAACAAATCAAAAGGGTGTAGAGGAGTAGAGAACCATTGAATATCATGGGCACCCTTTGTGACCTTTTTCACTTTTCGGTTTTTGCCAGGGTTGTTAGCCAACAAACGAAACGTTTCACGTTTTGCTGGTCAGTTCAGTTGAGCATTTGTCAGCCTTGAAAGAAACATGATTCTGATCCAGTGACTCCCTTGTCATGTTGACGTTTGTGACCCTGCAGGAAGGATCCGGAGGTTCCTACGGGTCCTACGGTAAACCGTAGCAATCATTGGGGTCTCCGGTGGGGATGTGACTAGGAGAGGCCTTTTCCTGGCTCGGACGGCCTCTTGTCAGGCGGCTTTGACATGCTGGGCAGTGGACGCCACAAGATTGAGACGGAGGAGGGAAAAGGGGCGGGCAGGTTGCGCTGGATGCATTGGCTGAGTCGGGGTGGGGATATGGACTCTTCAGTTGGAAAACCCACAAAACCTTGATAAGGATTTCAACTAAGAGACTATGACCATGGCACGCACAAGCAGTTTTTACCATGGCACGGATGCGCGAAGCGTCAACTTGCGGAAAGATCAACGTCTTGGAGTCAGACGCTTGAATTATGAATATGCTTGAGTACTTTGAGTTCCTTGACACTCATGAGTTTGCTTGATTGATGGTACATGTTGCAAGCCCTAAAGCAACCACACTAGCCAACACCTGTGTGAACATTCATAGACACAGCCATGAGGTCTGGGATTCCAACAGAGCATCCCCACCCCCCAAAAAATGGGGGGGAGGGGGGTGACCCCTGAAATTACATTTATGGTTCCAGTTTCCCTTGTATGGGGAAGACTAGACAAATGGAATTGGGGACCCCCCACCCCCCTCTCGCTTATGGCAGGGGGGATGACAGAGCGCCCTCAGGTCACCGATTTGAGTGGGGCATTGACCATCCCGGGGCTTAAGCCGCAAGCCCCTGCCGGGCTGCAGGAGCAATTCAGGGACTCCATGACCGCCGGATGCCCAGAGGAGAGGAGCATTTGTGGAAAGTTCGAGGCAAAGTCCGGGAAGGTCTTCAAGATAGCCAAACAGTCATCCAAGGAAGTCTCCAGGCCCATTCACCAATAACAGAGGGGCTGGGTGAATGTCTGGGATTGATTGGGGCTTATTCCAAGCGGAAGTCGCAGATGCCCTGACGTTTGAAGAATCAACTGTGTGTGGGGGGGGGGGAACAACAATTCGAAGGGCAGCCACCTTTGTTCAATTGAGTATATACCACCTGGCACTCCGTATGGGGCGGTACCTCGCTTGTGACGCGAGTTTTTTCTCGCTTGTGACGTTCTGTTTTTGTTTTTTTTTTCTTGTGACTGGAATATCTCGCTTGTGACGGTACCATTTTTGGTTACATAAACCCTTGCAAATTACATTGTTGTGTGTGTTTGGATATGGGCTGGGTGACCCTAGCTGCTGCTTAGAAGGCAAACGTGTTGGTTGTTAAAATTTTGTCGCAAGTGGATTGCAATTGTTGCATGTGTTTTACAGCACTTTGATGCCCGTGCCCAGTTTATTGACTTTAAAAGGACTTGCAGCTTCACTCTCCAGGTGTTACACTTTATCCAACACAACCAGGGACTGCCAGTATACCATCAATTCATTTGTTGACATCAGGTTCTTACCTGAAACAGATCCAGGGCCACAGAGACTGCTACCACTGTGGGTATCTCCTCCTCAGGGAAGAGATTGTCTTGCACCCCTGGTCAAAGACCAGGCTGCGCGGGCTTGAGCGGGTGCTTATCATGCCCCCCCCAAAACCCCGTCCAGGGAGAGATTGTTTTGCACCCCTGGTTAAAGAGCAGGCTGCGCGGGCTCAGTTGAGCGGATGTGCTTATCATGCCCCCCCCCCAACCCCCCCCCCCTTTTAGGGAGGTTGTTTTGCACGCCTGGTTAAAGAGCAGGCTGCGCGAGTTAGTGGTGCGGGTGTGTTTGTCATGCCGCAGGGAGAGAGACTGTCTTGTGAATCGTCGCAAGTGAGTCAGCTGACGTTTTGGGCAACACTTCACAAACTTCCGCTTGAAGTGAGTCAGGTGCACGCGCAAAACCGCAGCGCCGGCGAATTTCTGAAAAGAGAATAGTCGCATGTGAGTCAGGCTTCAGTCGCAAGCGAGTCAGTCGCAAGTGAGTAAAAATGTGTGTAGCAAGTGAGTGCTTCCCCCTCCGTATGGCTGCATTTTTTTGGTCAAACTCCCGTTTTTGGCCGCGTTTGCTCGTATGGCCATTGTTTTTCTGGTCATTTGCGTAAATCACTCGTATGAAACCCGTAGTTTTGTCAACATGTTGTGAGAGAAAAAACCAACGTATGGCAAGCTGTTCGGTCAAAGGCATCCCAGAAAACGACCATTTGGGGTCCCAGGGGATGACTAAACCAAAATGGGTTGGAGTTGCCCCATCTACTTTTGCCTAGCTGCATTGTCAGTATTTTACACCCTCTCCTATGCCATAGAACCTCAGAGTATCCAACCAGACATCCTTTCGGAACCTTTGGCGCCCACACCCCCCAGTGTGGCGTTTCAGGGAAAGCCACAAGAACACCAGCTTTTTCTAGGTCCAAGTGTTTGCGAAACGCTTTGGTTTGTTGGCATCCTTGGCGTTTCCGCCAGCCTGTAGTATCAATGAATGCGGCGATGCCACCCGCCTTCGACCGCAGTGTGGGTGGCACTTTACCGCAGCAAGAAGCGAGGCCCATGCCAAAATGAGTCGAGGGGGAAGTTTCCGGTGGCAGGGCAAGCCAACAAAAAGCAAAAGCAAGGATCCTTGGGTGAGTTGCCCTATGATTGAAAGGCCGTGTAAAGGGTTCATTTGTGGACGGAATTTCGGGGAACCCTTGAAAGAGGAACTGTGCACTTTTCGGCGGAGCCAAAGAGGGTCGAAAGGAAAGCCCGGCGCTCACGGAAATCCCTGATTGCGTCGATTGATCGAACCAAGCATTTGGTCCCGTTTGGAAGCCCAGGCACGGGTTCTCGAGTGAATTGGAGAAAGCCCATGTGGGTTGAGCTGGCAGCGGCAGGTGTTCTGTGGGCTGATGCCCGTTCTTGACATACCCGACCATCAACGGATAGTTTATGCTTCGTGGCAGAGAGTCCCAACCAGAAACAAACACCTCGTTTGAATCTGTACCGTGCTGGGTGTACCACGGCACACTCAAAGCGTCCCATGGTTGCGGGCGAAATTCGATTGTCTGAGGTTTGCAACTCGATTGGCCTTGATGGCCTGGTCGTCATCGGCGGAGACGAACCTTGGCTGAGTTGGGCGTGTATTCTTCGGGAAGGTCATGTCATTTGTCCCAATGCAGGAGTTAGAGGACCATGAGAAGAATTCCTCCTGAGGGGAACAATGCCACGGCACACATACAGGTTGGATTTTGTCTATGGCGGGAGTGTTGGTCTTCAACAGAAACCTAAGGTATGGCGGTGGTCATGTCTTTGTAGGTAACACACTCCCCGTCAATTCGGGAAATGACTTTGACCGGCAAGGCCTGCATTGAGAGATTGCAGGTTTCATGACTGTTACACTCACGGCTTAAATGGACTGTGCCAAATCGAGTTGGACCAATGTATGGATGAATGTGGAGAAACCGAAAGGAAGCAACCCATCCGTGAGGAATTGAGACTCCCATACGGGCTGGCTCGCGATTCAGGATTCGAACACGAACGGTGCCGTCTTGGCCGAGTACTTCAAGGCCCGGCATTGTTATGCTTGCTACAAATGGTTGTGTGTGTTTCGTTTGAGGGTACCCTTTTCGGGGTTGATTTGCAGGGAAAGCAAGTGCAACCATCCATTTAGTTCCTTTGTATTAAGACAGCCCGAATGCGCAATGGTTGCCATGGTAGGTCGGTTTCGCGGGTATCCCACCAGCCATGTTATCAGTGTGTGTCTGCTAGGGGCTAATTTGACTTGCACGTTTGAATGCGGCGACAACGTCACGATACTAAGCGGTTGTCGGGCATTACTGGATCCTTCCAAAAAGACGTACAGAGAGTTATTTGAACACAGGTGTTGGAGCTATAGAATGGTTGGACAAAAAGACCCAGCAGGGCCAGAGGGTGTATCTACCCAGCCTCGGGGTGCAAACTGAAGCCGGAGATGGAGATGCAAACCGCCTCATCTGAAACTGCCAGTCAATCTTCCAGCAATCACCCAGGATGATTTTTGCACCCACCCGGAAACTCCAGGCACGGAGGTGCCCAACACGGGGTTGCTCACCGAAGGTTTGTTGGAGTACTGTACCATATTGGACCTTCGGACAAGTTGGCGAAACCTGTGATCTACTCTTGTTTGTGCGTTTATTGTCCGTGTGGACCGGTCCCTGGACGGCTTGAGAAATGCCCAACAGCCGCATCCCTGTAAAGTCAATTGAACATTTCGGCCGCGGATGCTGGGGATGCCGCACAAAACATTGAGAAACATTCGTTTCGTGCATCTCCAAACACATGTGCAAGGGGTCTCCACCAAGTGCTGTCACTCTCACCAACATGGCTTCCCAATTGAAAATGAGCACGCAAGTTCATGTTTTTGAAGAGGCCAGGAAAAGTGCATATTTGCCAATCCGCACGCCCGTTCCTGAATCATTCTACGTACCACAAACAATACAAGCCAGTTTTACAGAACCAGCAGAATCGACACAATCTGGCAAAGCAGCACACCTATCCGGATCCCTGGTTTGAACGACTGGACCTGTCCACGTGTTTGGACCACACAAATGCAAGTTTCAACAGCCTTGGAGACGTGGAGACGCATCGACCTTTCGGCCGCACGTGTTTGGTGATTGTGCGGTCCTCTAACCCACACCCTGATGAACCTGCGGGTGGCCATCGCTGGCAATCCAACCGCCTGTTTGTTGGAGAAGTCTACTTCTGCGGACTGACATGAAGCAAACAAAACCACGTGGTTCTAGAGGAACTTCGGTTCAGGGGACTCTCCTTGGGTTCCATGTAATCTGTATTCAATGCATTTGATGACCCCCATGCTGCTGTCAAGTTGAGTCAAAGCTGGTTTAGTTGTCAGGTGTCGTTTCTACCGGGGCAACATCATAAAAAAAGGTTGGCTTGTTCTGCATGAACTTGTTCCCACAACACGGTCAGCTAAATTGAGAAATGCTGAGGCATATGAAGCCATCAGATTTGAAGGCATTCTGGAGAAAGAGTCGCACAGGACACGCCATCCACAGATTTATTTACGCATGTATGCACATTGGATCCGCTTTGGTGTTTCAAAGGTGAGCGAGCAGGAAGCAGGGCCCATTTGCCCGCGAGGCCAATGGCTGCAAGACCAAGGTTGTCGGTGCGCCCAAGACAATCGACGGTGATCTCAAGCGGCCCCTGACGCGTTTTATGTTGGCTTCAGGTTGATCCGCAGAACCGGACCAAGGGGCAGTTCCCCATTTAGTGCGGACATGATCTCCCTTTTTTTGCTGCCTCTAGCGGGTTCCTCCGACTACTAGGGTCCTCCAGATTAGTCCGAACACAATGACTCCTAGAGGTGCCCATGGGGTTGGGTTCATTTGATGAAAGGCCCAGGAAAAACCTTAGTAACGCCCTTCATAAAACCTCATGAACCCCGCCTCGCCCCGTCCTCAGGTCCAGCCCCGAAATGCGTTGGCATTAAATCAATGCAGATGCCCTCGTAGCTGCGGGCTGCAATTTGCGCTGTTGGTTTGAACCAAGTCACATGTGATACGCGCGAATCTCTGGGAAGACCGATTTGTTTTAAAGCTTTCTCGTTGCTTTTTGTGTTCATTTATTCCTGTTCCCTACCCCCTGAATGCTTGTGTTTTGTTGCTTGTGGTTAAACTTCCATGTTTGCCTCACCATTGCTCTTTGTGAGCCTGCCTTTGTGCGCATACGTGTGTGTAGCAGGTCTCTCTCTCTCTCTCTTTCTCCTTTTTAGCACCCCTCCTTTATGGACCCCTCAAGCCTCAAACAGCTCAGTACTGCATTGGTGCGGTGAAAAAAACCACCGTTGTCCTTCTTATTTGCAGAGGCAACCGCCCAGTCAATGCCGAGACTCGGCACGTGGCAACCCTGAGCCAGCCTCTTGTTCATGACTTGGGCTTCAAAAGGGCGCCACAGGACACCCCTGGCCGTGAAACATGGATTGGGGCCAGGGTCACTTCCATAACTGGCCCTTTTTGGTTGGTTTGGTCGAAAAATCGATGGGTTTCGATTCCTGGTTTACCTGGAGGTTTAATCATCTACCAGGGGAACCCATCTATTTGCCTTAAAAAGACACCTATGGACACTTCTGTTCCTCAGCTTTTTAGCTTTTTTGTGTTTAGTGATAGTTTCCATTTAACCCACTAAAAGTCAAACTTTGATGGGGGGATCTGAGGGCAGCCCTGGCCAGAGGCCGTTCAGCGACCCAGCCAGAACAGCAGCTGACAATGAGTAGCTTGCACATTCGGATAAACCATGGACCCTGTTTCTACCTCGCTCTTGCCCCCAGCCAGAACTCACATGCTTGATTCTGTTCCGTGCCGTCGTTACCCCCCAAAAAGGGTTCCTTTTTTCTTCCAGGGTCGAGCAAGCGGGACATGAACAGCCTTGCCTGGAGTGTCCCCCTGTAGCAGGTGCCTGCCTCTTAATGAACCTTGCGGCTTTCCCATGATCCCAAAACGTTCAACCTGAAAGTCTCCGGGTTACCTTGGTCTTTCAGCCATAGTTTCCTTTCAGCTATACTTTTGCCAGTTGGTTGGCTTTCAGCCGTTCCGATCCGACGCTTAGTTTCCAGGTCCCAAAAGGGTAGCGTTCGAACTTTTGTTTGGCAGGTGCCCACCGCACATCCCGGTGTCCTTCGGCTTCGACACTGCCTGCAAGACCTACGCCACCTTGGTAGGCGAAGCCGAAGGGAAGTTTTCGACCTGTTGAAGTTGGTCGTCCATTTTTTTTGGGGGGGGGTGTACATTCCCCTTTCGGAAACACCAAAAGTGGCAGTTTCAACGGGAACCAGCCGTGAATGTCAACTTTTCAAGGGGAATTCCAGTGACCTGTTCTTTATTGCCCCCATTTCTACTCGTACCGGCTTGGTGTCTCCCACAGGTGAACCTTAGACGCTAGCTCCCAGAATCCGGCCGTTTTGGGGGTTGCTGATTTTGTTGGGTTCCTTTTGTGCAAACCGGGGCCCCATTTGGAAGACCTGATTCCATTTGGTTAGCTGGTGGCTCAACGCCTGAACCCACTGGCTGCGCTCGGAGCGTCACATGCGGAAGGCTGAAGCGTGGATGTGTGCTTGGAAGGGCAAAAACAGCTTTTGGTCAGTGCGATTCGATGACTGGCTGCGGGTGAATTTCATGAATTTTGCAGCCTCTTCCTTTGTTCATTCCCCGGCGGAAAAGTACAGCGGGGGTTCGACTGCCATCTTCCAGAAACAACATGAAAGGCAGAGGGAGATCGATGTTTTATCCACTAAGCAGTAACCCCTGGTTCCCCAACCCCTCCAATGTTTGGTCGACATCCATGACGAGGCAATGTGGCCGTTGATGCCTTGAGTGCGCAGAAGTCCGGGATCCAAGCGGGCCTTGTCGTACAACGTGTGCTCCTTTACCTGGGGTTCTCACTTCTCACAACTCTTTTTCCCAAGACCGACCTTTTGGATCTTTTGGCTTCTGATTTGTTGCCAAGGTTGCACAAGCCACCGCGCCACGCGGAAGCATGCGGAAGGCTTCGCGGAAGGTGTGCGAAGGCTTGGTTTGATATTGAAGCACTTCATGCGCGCTGAGAAGCGCGGGGAGGCGATTGCAGAAGCAGACAGGTGCTGCGTACAAGAAGCGCAAGGCTGGCTAGAAGTCTGCGGAAGCTTCGTGGAAGCTCCGCAGAAGGGGCAGAAGGGTCCCGTGTTTGCAGGCAAGAGCCCGTGTACTCGTAGCACCGGTAGCCCAATGAAGCCCAGGCCTACACACGCTGCACCAAACCAGGCGGAACATGTCTTTCCTTACTTGTACCTACTGAATTAAGCTGATTTGACTTTCCCTTCTGCGCCACTGCTCGCGGAAGCGAAGCTTGTAGAACACGCACCTCGGAAGTTCGCAGAAGGGTCCAACGGGGCTCGCGGCAAGGATGTCGGAAGGGTCTGCAGAAGCTTGAATCATGTCGAATCAAGTTTCACATGGTTGTTGCTGGGAAACATTTTACATTTTTGCTTATTGTGGTTTAGTGGGAAATCCCCACTTAACTGCTGAAATTAAATTGTTGCTCCCCTTCCAACGTGAACCAAGTTCAGGTGTCTCAACAACTTTATGCATGTGTACAAAGCGGTGCGTCCGTCTTTGCTCCAGGGCACAAGGCGAACCAGAATTTGTTTGATGACCATCGCACATGTCTAGCCTTGGCCAAGTTGCATGCTGACCCTCCCTGATTTATTTGGCAAAGTTTCTGGGAACCCTCCAATGGTTGGTGTCTTTGTTCAAGGACCAATGTACTTGCTTCTGAATGCTTGTGAGTTTCCATTGGGATCCTGTGGCGTGATGTTTCTGGACTAAACACGTGTGTTGAACCAACACATTTGGTGAGTTCCCCTGTGGTTCGTGATGTGAGGCTGGACCTCGATCCGTTGGATGCTGAGGTACTACCACTTGGTCCGGCTCATGGGCCGATCTGCGTCCAATATTGCCCTGGAAGTTGCAGCATGCTCAGATCGTGCCGAAAAAGGGCCGTCAAAAGATTCCGAAGGGCCGATTGGTGGAAACATGATTGCTTAGTTTGATTCGATTCATATGGTTATATAATTGTATTGATCTGCTTAACTTCAATAATTTGTTTGATTGATTTCATTCGCTTGCTAAGGCTCATACATCCGTCCGTCCGTCCGTCCGTCCGTCCGTCCATCCAGCTTCTTCCCACCCTTGCGCGTTGCCGGTTCTCTGTTTGTTTGTTGCCAGTTAGGCGGCGCTTGAGAATGCAGCAGCCTGTGGTCAGTAGCGCAAAGCGCAGTCGCTTGCTCATGGGTACCGCGACTCGTGGCGCCCCGGCTTGACCCTGTGGCTTCCGCGCGCCTCTTGTGTTGCCCAGCCCGAGCGACTGACTTTACGAGCCGCAGGCTGTAATTGCGCTGATGTGGATAGCACTACCTTTTTGTGCTGCGCAAGATCAGGCTGGAAAAGCCCGCCAGCATGTTTTAGTTCACTGCTGTTAGGCTTATTGATTCATTGTTTCGTTGATTCATTGATTGTTTGACTGACCCGTTGATTTGACGGATTGATTGATTTATTGATGGATGGATGGATGGATGGATGGATGGATGGATGGATGGATGGATGGATGGGTTGGGTTGGGTTGGTTGGTTGGTTGGTTGGTTGGTTGGTTGGTTGGTTGGTTGATTGGTTGATTGGTTGGTTGGTTGGTTGATTGGTTGATTGGTTGATTGGTTGGTTTTGATTGATTGATTGATGGTTGGTTGGTTGGTTGATTGGTTGATTGGTGGGTTGGTTGATTTGTTGCTTGGTTGATTGATTCATTGTTTGATTGATTGCCTGATTTGACAAATTTGTTGATTGATTGGTTGGTTGATTGACTGGTTGGTTGGTTGGTTGGTTGGTTGATTGATTGATTGATTGATTGATTGATTGATTGATTGATTGATTGATTGATTGATTGATTTGAGACATTGATGGCTTCATTGATTGATTGGTTGGTTGGTTGATTGATTGGTTGATTTATTAGGTTAATGAATCAATTTACTGTTTGAATTGCTTCACTGATTGATTGGTTGACTAGTGTATTTGATTTGATTGTTTTGATCCAGGTCAATCTCCAATGTCAACTTGCGCGGTAGAAGTGGAACAAGTCTCGTGGGGACTGCCGGTGCTCACTGGCCTGGCGCCGCCGGACGTGAGGCCTTGCTCACGCGGCCCAACGCCTGTCTTCTTGGAGAGGAGGTGGCCATGGGGCGAAAGGGTCACAACAGCCGTCCTTCGGCACTGCAAGAAAGACGAAAGCCCACAGGCTTTATATAAATCGACTACTGTTTGTCTGGGTTTCTAGAAGGGGGTCAGACCCCACTGAAATGGGCCTGCGCAAGTTCCGAAACCTCCAGTTGCTCGAAGGGAATCGACCAGATCTGACCGCTCAGATTCACGGCGTTTATATTCTGCAGGCGGCAGGTTGTCAACACCAGGGGTCTCTTTGGCAACCCGTTTCAGTGTCATTTTGTGTCGCCCTCAAATGCAGGGGATAGTATTCCAGGAAGTCCACCGTCCTGGTCAATCCCGGAAACGGGATGGGCATGTGGTCGCTTCTTGTTGGCGTCCTTCAAACATCCGAGCAAAGGGGCCCGCTTCTAGTTTTGTGTTCGGAGGGTTTCAGATTGCCAGGCTGGAAACGGCAATGGAAACGGAAATGCGCGCGATGCAGAGTTGTGCAAACGGTAGATAACCGGGATCCATGTGGTATAGAAGCTACTTGTCAGCACTCTGAATGTTGGTACATGGATAGCCAAGCTTTGGGTTGCACGAAGTGATAATACATGGGTATGGGTCGAAATGAAAGCACCAGGGACCGCAGGTTTTAGTCCATGTTTCCATTTGCCAGATTTCCATTTTGACTATTCTTTTGACCCACTCACACATCTCGCTCTGAAAGGATAGGTTCGGCCCACCTGTGCCATGGTCAAAGCGCCTCTGTCCTTGTGGTCGGTAGGGACGGCCATCCTGCCTTCTTTCTCAGCACGGCAGTTTTTTGCGGCATGACCGGTTCCAGGTTGAAGATGCGGTTACAGATGGGAAAATACCTTTGCTGTTTTTGTTGTGCGCTTGACTTTGTTCAATCCTGTTCATTTTTGGTGGTGGTGGGGGCAAAGCTTGCGGGGTTTGGACGAGACTGTGACACATGCGCCGTGGAATGCCACGTGAAAATTGGGAGTCTGTGGGATATTGGGATTCTTTGAGTGCCGGAGTTTTGATTCTGACGTGTTGCGAATAGAACCCCTGGTTGATAAATAAGGGGGTGTCCCTTCCGAGCTCACGGCTTGTTAACTGTTAGGAAAAACATCCCCGAATTATCCACCTTGATGAATTCCGGGTCAACATCATGACGTACATGAAGCGATCTTGAATGATAGTTGGGGGGCCGAATGATCAGCTTCCTCGCTGTACCAAATCTGGAGCCCCTGAGTGGTGTCGTGGATCGCCATGTCGTTCATGGTTTCTTTGTCCGCCGGTTTTCCAGAAAGCAAAGGTACACCCGTCCACTCGTGCAAAGAGGTCGTTTTGATAGAGTCCTTTACAAATCAACCCAAAGCCATCGGAAAATCAAACAGCAAACCCCGGGCCATGTCGTCTTTCGCCAGCGTTTTTGGGCGTGCGAGGTGGCGGAAGGCAAGCAGAGCTTGAAGGATATCACCATGGATTTGGCAGCTGGGCGCCCGAGATCTGATCCGTGGCAAGGGGAGTTGTTGTTTTGATCTCCACGCACAAAAACGGTCGACTGGGGTGAGGGGAGCCCCTGACGTCTCATGTGCCATGTTGCCTTTGTGGAGATGAATGAATAAACAGAACTGGGGGACACCCCCCCCCCACTGCCCCACTCCCCTCGAGGTGGGAGCGTAATCATTATGAAAGGCACGTGATTGGGTGCATCCTAATTTCAGGGATCCCCTTTTGGACAGTTTCAAAAGAACCTTACAATGAAACCATCCGTTTTGGGGTCTCCTCCTTTCAGACATACTTGATTCCGTCATGAACAAGATAAGAACCATAATGATGCCAAGACCCCCGTTTGTTTCACTCGGAAACACCAGACATGGACATGTGCGACTACCAGGAGAAACGTGCGTTTCATGAGCACACTATATGTGATGTGTGTGTGTGTGTGTATGTAATGCTTCAGCAATGCTTGTCAGGCGTCCCTCTATGTTCAACCTCAGAGGTATTTCCAGCAAGCAATCCCGCGCACTGAGGACATGATCGAAGCGCGCAGCAAGGACGGCAAGGAGCATTTTTTGTCGGGCTACGCTCAGAGCATGGCAGTGTGTGTGTTCACTTTGCGGTGGTCAGAAATATGTGTTTAAGAGTCTCAAATCTGCACGAGAGCTGCCGCTTTTCGTTCACTGATGTGAGCCAAAATGAAAAGCTGCAGGGCACGTGAAGGTGGTGAAAGGACTGGCGGCGATTGCTTTGTCTGTGAGGACTACGGGGTAATTCTTCTTCCCGAAGGTCTCATCGAGTTTGGGTCTCAGTTGCCGAAGACAAGCTGAGGGCTAAATGAGGCGTTACCAATAAACAGCACCCTTTTTGGGACCCAGGCCAAGTTTGGTACTACTTTTTGAGGCGATCGATCTCCAACCAATATGGCATACCATTCAAGCAAATGCTCTATGAATACATGTTTTTGTCGGCAACTCGAGCTAAATCTGCGAAGCCGGAGCGCCCCATTTTTTGGCCAAGCTAGGGTTTCCTATTTTGGACTACCTTATTGCAAACACAAGCCCCTCAAATGCCAAAGTCCAGCTTTCCTTCAAGGTGCGCCACACTTCTCCCAAAACAGCAAAGTACCCCCCCGACCAAACGAGCTGGACCCAATCCTTCCGTGCTTTCCGAGCCGTCCAACAAGCCTCACATCGGCTGAATCTCTGTGGACCTAGCTTGTCATCATTTTGCGCGCCAATATTCACTAATGGAGCATACCCAAGGGAGAACACACAGGCACAGATCTTGGGTTTTCTCCGATTTTAGGACGGCCATAACCCACACTTGTATTTGCGTCGGGGGGGGAAAAACTGAATCTGTCCTTTTGGACGCCTCGGGCCGAAGTTCCTCGCAATGTCAAGCACATGGTTATGCCAACGTTGAAATTATGGTGGACCTTTGTGGTGCCGAATACATGGCCTGGTTGCTCTTTGCTTTGACCTTTAATCGTTTACTTGTTTGGGCCCCAAGTTTCAGGCGGCAAGCCCACAAAGAGGGCACTCGTGCTCAAACCAGGGAATTGGCCAGGCTTTCAGTCAAGGGGGAACTGCATGTTCAGCAAAGCGATTCTATGGGAGAGTGAGGGAAGGAAAAAGGGGCGGAGGTAGGAAGAGGGACAGAGAGAGAGAGAGAGAGAGACTGAGACCGATGTGCAGGCCTCCTAAATTCATGTGCCACACATGCCTGCATACTGAGTGTGCCTGTTCCCGCGACCTCGGGCTTTAGACATTGCCCAACTTATTGTTTTTCGGGAGACCTGCCTGGCCTCGAGCTGGATCTATCAACATTTAAGAGTTGGACTCTGGCTGGCTGACTGTGGGCAAAAACTTGCCTTTTTATATTATAGTGTGCTGCTTTGCTAGATGATGTTGCCTTACACCTGTGCATATATATATATATATAAATATACATATATATATATGTAGCGCGTTGCTTTACTGGATGATGTTCTGGTTCACTTGAAAAAAGTCGGTGCAAAGAACTAGCGCCGAGCATCCAGGTTCATCCCAGAGTTCAATTCGCTGATCGGCGAAATCAACGACAAGCTGGCCCAGCCGGGAGTGGAAGCCACTGAGGAGGCACCCGGGTGGACGTGTCAAGCATGTGGCCATGGTGAACGGGACCCAATCCAAGCACTAAAATAGGAATTCTAAGATGGGTGGTGAATTCACCAATCCCAACCAAAATGGGATCAACCAAAACGGTTTTGACAACCACAGCCATGTGAAGGGTCAACAGGTTTCAACCAAGGAACAGTCAAAGATGTCATTTCACCACGGACTTTGGGCAAGCTGAGTTGAAACCATGGGGGTCTCGTGGAAGTGCAAGCGGATATGCGATTGTTGAGGGTATCCTTGTAGGTGGTTGAACATGCAATTCCAAGAGAAGCAACCCGTTTTGGGGGGTTCCTGCATTTGGAGGCACACCCAATGGCACCCTTTTGGTTTCCAATGCTTAAAGGCTGATGAATGCGAACGGACTCGGATGCGTTGTTTGTCCACTTGGTCTATGTCTAGGAATCAACTAAGCAAGGCCGACGTGTTCATAGCTGAGGTGACCCAGTCACCCAGTTTATTCGCCTGGATCAACAGCATATCATGCGGCCGTGAAGAATGACACAGGCACGGGCCAAATTATTGTTTTTTTTGCTGACATCCATCCCATTGTACTAGAACAACTCTGGGTTTGGTATGGATCGTGCTGTGTGTTGACTACTGCCAGGATGATGATGGCTTAAGCGAAGTGCGGGAATCTTTATGTCGTATGAGTCACGCAGCAAGGTTCGGTCCCATTGAAGACCCCGGTGTGCCCTTGTTCAGCTTGTCGTCGAGGGAAAGTAGAGAAAGACGATACCCATTCTGGAGATCCTACACAGGTTCTAAACGGATTCCAGCGTGCGCCAAGGGACACCATGTGTGTAGCATCCAAAAAGAACCCATGTGTAAGAACCCATTTAGAGTCACCCAATGAATTGAAGGAGGTCGTTTCGCACTTGGATTTGGGCGGCCTCGAACTTCTCACTTGGCTTCCTGTCCGTTTTGAGATGGCGGATCCGTTCAGAACCGAGTTGCATGTCTTGGGCGGGTTCCGGTTTCGCAGAGTCGCACCGTGGCAAATTAAATCGCGGCCTCACCGATGCAACCGATGCCTTGTGGCGCAGGTTCCCTGAGGAGTATCCCCTTCTTTTCCATCGGTGAATGAACAGAAGTTGCAGCCATCTTAAACGAGGCCGTCAGCCACCCAGAACCTGAACCACGCTAAATCCATCCTAACCCACCTTGAAGTCACCTTAAACCCACCCTGAACCCATCCTGAACCCACCCTGAACCCACCCACCCACCCGAAACGCGCCCCAAACAACCCTATAAACCTGAACGTACCCTAAACTCACCCAAAAACCCAACCCAAGCCCACCCCAAACCCACCCCCAGCCACCCTAAAACCCGATGTTCGCGCAGGAAACCCACCGGAAACCACTCTAAAGGCACCGGACAAACATCTCAAACGTCGGAGCCAGAAAAATCAACACAACAACTCGGGCGGATCCCCCCCCTCCAACCTGGAGCCGAAAAGAGCGGAAGAGTCTGTCACCTAGTGCGTATTTCACCTGCGACATGGCCAGGGCATCCTGAAGGTCCTGTCCGAGCAGAACGCAAACTGCTTCAGGCCATGGGTGGCAATTATTCTGGGGGTATAGAGACCTCGCAAGGGGGCAGAAGGACACAGACCCCCCATTCTGAACTTAGTGCGCCCCGTATCTTCTGCTCGTGAGTTATCATACTTCACCTGAACTCATGGCAGCGATGCGCCATAAACATGCACAACTGGCTGCCCTACAGACCAACAAGAACAGAGCAAATTGAAGGTTTCCCAGAACCAGGCATACAAGCGAAGGAAGAAGAGCATTTAAACAAAGCAACTGCTTCCAACATGCATCCTCGGGCTGGTCAGTCGGGGCGGCAGGAGGAGGGTGGCAATATTTTCTGTCGCAGAGGAGCCACTGTGAAAACTGCTTGTGGAAGGGTGTACTTTGTGATGAAGTTTTTCTTTTGGTTGGGTGCATTTGACAAGCGACACATGGGGTGTTTTTGGGGGTAATTACACCTTTTGCCGTTGGTTCCAAGGGAAAGCAAAAGGACGCCTATCATTTTGGTGGTGCCCCTATATATATATATATATGGCCATGAATTTAGATAAGGAACCCCACCTAAAAGTGGTTGGTGGACATTAAACAAAAAAAAAAACTAAATGATGCCACCAGAGGGTCCCTAATTCAAATTCATCCCTACTAAAGTAGGTTCTAAAATGGGTGGTGAATTCACCTACCAACCAAAACGGTACCATTGGTTTTGACCACCACCACATACCTGTGGAACCCGGTCGACAACTCCATCTCTGAGGTATTTGCCCGGCTTCATCCGGGCACAGCTGCTTTTGGACCGTGACCCCCACGGCAACGTGCAGGAGCCGTGGGCTGCAACGTATCCATGTCCCAAGCACGGAGCAAAAAAGAACAAGAACGGAAAGTCTCGGCAGCTCCTTTTGGAGGACGCCCCTTTTCTGTTTTTTTTTTTTTTAATAAGTCAACCTGCAGGGTAGTAGCACCCCTTCTTCTTTTTTGAGAAACCTCTCGGAAGCCAGCTATCTTCGGAGGTGCCTCAAGGGGACAAATCCAAGCAAATCCATGGTGATTAGGGCTTCCCAGTCTTATCGACTAGAAAGGGTTCCCTGCAACCGCTGTGCAAGGGGGTGACGATCCGAGGCAAGTGTTTGCTTAGTGAATTTACCCTGTCTTGACCACGCTGACGGCCCCAAGTTGTCCCATGTGAATTCTGCCCACATTCCCCATTTACCAGGGACTGCGGGTTTTTGCTCGAACATCGAATTGACTGATTTCAATCCCCTTCGTTTCTTTCCACACAGGCCGGCAGGAGCGGGGATGTCGCCAGGTTTAGCTCACAACCCTTGAAGGCCAAAATGCCTGAATGGCACTTCTTGGCAATGGGCGTGACTTTTTGGGTTTCCCGTTTTGCGGAAGCCCTCTGAACCGTGCGCTAAGGAGATGACGCCTGGGTTTGTCTCAGAATGGTGGACCCCCCCAATTCGGGATGGTCCGCTTTTTGCTTCCATGATAAACGAAGCTCCAAAAACTGGAAAGATCCCCCCCGCCACCCCATGCTGCTTTGTTTGGGACTCCGAAGGTTCAGGTAACCCTGAATTGGCGGTTTGGGGATTTGGCCCGCTATTGCTTTTGAACCCTAAATGACAAATACCCCGCCAACATCCAAACAAGCCAAGCCACCCATGCGCAAGTCAGGTGAACCTCCAACAAGGTAGCCTCCAAACACAGAAGGGGACCCCCCACCAATTCCCTTTGCTTTTTTTGGAGGGGCTCCAAGCCCCACAGAACAGACCCCCCAACGAATACCCCCCCCCCCCCCGGGCGCCGGCCTTTTTGGGGGCGGTGCCGTGCCACACGGCCTGCCGAAACTCGCATGATGTTCATGAGAAAATGAATCTCTAAAGGGAGGTCTTCCTAAAGATTAGGTGTGTGCAAAAACCCAACGCTCACAGGGTCCCTTTCTGTGCCTCAAGAGCACCCAAGACATGTGTGGTTTTGGCGTCACATTTGTTTCCTCCAAACATACCCTCCAGTCAATTGCCGCAGGTCGCCAAGATCGAGACGGAGAAGCTGCTGGCCGCCACGGTGCACTCGGAGCTGGAGGGCCGCC